ATATAGAAGAAAAACAGCTATAAACATGTCATAAGGTGTTTTCACAACTTCTAAACAGTCTTGCAAATGTTTATGCTAGTAGATAAGTTCAAATAAACAAATCAAAACAGGACCATAGTAATGTCATAAATCATAATCAACGGCTCGTTAAAGATTTAGAATCATATAATAGCAGTATGTACGTTGCTTTTTGCATGGCCTTCATAGCAGCGGCTCCTGTTCTTAACGCATCCACTGTTTCCGTGGTGGCTTTTGCACCTTCTAACATTATCATCTATAACACAAATTATCACCATAAGATGCAAAAGAAGATTAATAATAATATATAAACCATTGTCTGAACTAATACTAAATACAAGAGTTATCAATAGCGGCTGATAGTGGCGCTATCCGGGGAAAGCGGCCCGGAGCGGTGACCCTCCGCTATTTGATGTTTAGCGGGTAGCAGGAGCAGGGTGCTTCCCGGTCCAAACAGGTTTGAACTGTTTTGAACGCGAAAACCCAGATTTACCCTTAAAATAAATAAATCTGGTTTGATTTTACATCTGTTTTTCATTACCTCTGTTTTTTGTAAGTAATAATCATTTAATAACTCTATTCCTCTTCTTCCTCTTTTATTTGTTTGGTTTTACATTAAATATATGTTTTATAGATTATTCATATAATTACTCTAAAAAATAGTCAAATAGCGGTTATCCCGCTATCTGCTATCCCCTTTTTGGGGTCGGTCGCTCCGCTCTGCTATCTGGGATTGATAACTCTGCTAAATACAATTGCATCTGCACCTGGTCATGAATACGCAGCTGGAAATTTCCAAGCTGCTCAATTTGCTGTTCATATAACCTCTTCCTCTTCAAACATTGAATAGCCGCTGTATAAAACAAAAACACGAGTCACGTGTAATTAAAAATAAGGAAAGTGGGGATTACAGAAAATTCTAAATAACAAGTACAATAATTCAGTTTAAGAACCTACCCTTTTTGTTCTTTCCTTTAGTGAATTCTTTGGCTTTTTCAACTTCTGCCCCGGCCTTTTTAAGGAGTACGTTTTCCTTTTTCTCTAGCATTTCAAGTGTCTATAATTTCAAAGGACAACAAAATTGAAATTATTAAATCCACTCACTCAATCTCAAACTGTAAACTAACACTCAAAATGAATGGATAACAATAAGCATTGCACACATCTATAGTCACATGATATATGCACTATATACATATATGATACATGCTTCAAAAGAGAAAGCAGACATATTCAACAATAGAACTCAGATAAATATTCAAATGCTATGACTATGAGAAGAATTACAAGAATATTCTCTGCCAATGGGGTGCTCATAAATTGAAAATATAGATAGATACTAAGGAGTATTTTAATGTAATTTTGTGCCGATTAACAAAAGGTTTAACAGCCTCTTTGGATTGCCTAACTTGAACTTATCTACTGACATAAACACTTGTCAGAGCTTATAGAAACAACTTATGACAAGCCCATAATATGCGTTCAGCCTATTCTCATACATCCTCCAAGATAGCTTGTGAAAACAACTTATAGGTTATATGAAATTGGTTTAAACTATTTTACATTTTGTTACAGAAATATTCACAGCATAACCCATCCAAACAAACTCGGTTTCTAAACAAACCACTAGTTAATAAAGTAACAAAAAAAATATACTACGCGCTAAACATATTTACACTATTCAATTAGTTAACTAATTAAAAATAAACAGTGATTAGCGTTTTGAAGTTCAATCACATCACAAGACGCAGACACATTTCTCTTCTTGCTCTCGCTTTTCAGGTTGCTGTTAGAAAAAGGATTTTTGGTAGGTACAGAATATTTTCCCCAGAGAAGATTTATAAAGAATGAAGTGAAATTGAAGCTTCATAATCCAAAAATGGAAATCTCTGTGAAGTAGACAGCATATATAAACTCACTTGAAAACTATAGATAAGCTCACACAAAGACATTACAGTAGTTTGCAATTCTGCATTGGCGCGACGTTTGAAACAAGTGAGTGAAACTGTGAAAGTGATTGTGGAAGTTGAAGATGTTGAGGATAGCAAAGGAACCAGAGGAAGTGATGAGAATACGAGGAGGTTCCGTACTTGGAAAGAAGACGATTCTGAAGAGCGACCATTTTCCTAATTGCCAGAATAAGCCTTTGTCTCCTCAGATCGAAGGAGCTCCAAATTATCGTCAGGCTGAGTCTTTGCATATTCACGGTGTTGCAATCCCAACCGTTGATGGAGTCCATAATATTCTTAAGAATTTATATCATAAGCACTTAATTAAGCTATTTATCCAAACACTACCTTAAATGGAATATAGGGAAATCAATGTATTTACTTATTATGTATTATTCAACACTCAGTCAAAGCTCATAGGTTAAGTATAGTAGTAAGAATTAGAGTTGGCATGAAGTTATTTAGCATTAATCATGCAGCAAGGTCACAATTAACCAACAACAACGACGACTAAGTGGGATCAGCTACATGGATCAACTATCGCCATAATGTTTTATTTAAGATCATGCTTCTATCCAAATCGTTAATCTCGATAACTTTCTTAATAACTTCTCATATGGCTTTTCTAAATCTTCCTCTAACTCTAGATGTTTGACTTCTCTCCGTCTGATATACTCTCCTTACCACATAATCTACACTACTCTCTCTCCATACCCAAACCACTTAAGTCTAAGATCATAATTAACCGTCCGTTTGAATTGACTTATTTAAGTTTATCTGCAACAACAACAAAAAACTTTCCAATCCATTTGCGAGAGCATATAGAAACAACTTATGACATGCCCATCAAACTTATTTCCACAAACTCTCAAAAATAGTTCAACCGTTCAGTTAAGTTATTCACCCAAATAAAACTAATTGCAACATAAAAAATTTATAAAAAAAAAAATATATAGCATAATGAATTCAACTAAAACAGTTATATTGAATCTAGAATTGAAATTGATACTAATTAAAAGAAAAATAGAATTAGAATTAGAAATAGTACCTCGTTTAACTTATCCAAAGTGGCAAGAGCATTGTTGCTGATTTCCTGTTTAGGTCTACCAAAAACTCTGCTAAACATGATTATTTGCGATCGATTGAATCAGATAGTGAAAATTGAATCGGTTCGAATCGTGAAAAGAACGAAGGGTTGAAACTCGGGATCTGGGTAGGTGGTAGAAAGAAAAAGCGATGATGGGTTATGAGTGTTGTTTTGGTTTCATCATCGGTAGATTGATTCGAAGATCGAAGGAACTTGCAACTGCGGTTTTTATTTCCACGTGGCACGCGTTATTTTATTTTGTTTTGTTTTTGTAAGATGAGAATGAGAAAAATCAAAACTAACGGTCAATGCAAGTTTATATATATTTTGTAATATTGATATTTGATCATGAATAAATATAAAAATTAATAATTAGTGAATTGATAGTAAGATAATTAATTTTAAAACACAACTCAAAAAAATTATTTAATTTATTACTCTTTAGGATTATTATATTTATAAAAAATATGTGTATTTCCTTAAAAAAAATAATGCTCATAGTTGATCTGGCAACTCTATGCCAAGAAAAAAAACCTAAATTGCCAAGTTCCTTAATCTTGAAGGCACTTTCAAGTTGGCTTTTGATGAAATCAATCTCATCAAGATCATTGACTAATAAGATTAAGTTATGCGCATAAATGAAGAGCATTGTAATTTTGTTAGCAAGTTGCTTGATGAACAATGAGTGATCAAATTGTAGTTAAATTGTGTTTGAGCATAAATAATCAATTGTATAATTAGAGGTTTTGTCTCGTATGTTCCTTTCATGAGGTAACTCCAAATGTGTCTTGTGAAGTCATCTATAATAATGCAGTATAAACGAATCATCTTCAATGATGCTCCTAAATAAGGCATAAACAATGATTAAAACAAGAGTGTAGTGGTTAAGCTAGATGTTGAAATCAAATTGTAGTTAAATTCAAGCACAAACTAAACATTGTAATTTGTCAAGCCAGCATTAATTTTGATTGTGTATGAAATTTTTGAAATGATTTGAGAGATCCATTAGATACTTTGATGCTAATAGGTTTAATGATATGATATGAGTAGTAAAGACACAAACAATAACATATGTATCTTAATAAAATGAATAGGTTCAAGAACAATATCATGTGAAAGATTAATATCTTGTGAAGAAGCATAGACAATGTGAAATAAATTTCTGGAGGCAGCTTCAGATTTCCCAAGCAAGTTAACCTTGCTCTGATAACATATATGATACAACGAATATTTTATTAAATCTTACATTAACACTTGGTATGCTATTATATATAGAAATATAGTTTATAGTTTATCCATCATAACTAATTTGGTGCAATTAACTTAACTAACCAAGTTTAATCAATATAACTTAGTACATAATTAACTTTGCTAACCAAATTTAATTCTTTGTCTCAAAATAAGTGTAATAAGTGTCGCATTTAAAAGAATACAGAAAAAAATTATCCCAAAATACATACCACTAATTAATCAAAATAATTTGATAAATACATATCACTAATTAATCAAAATAATTTGATAAAATCATTATTCTCTTCTTTATTTTTAAGAGTTCATTTTAATAGTTCATATTTAATCTCTTAAAACGTAAGGTGGGTTTGGATATTAAAACTAGTTAAAAATTTTGAGAATTTAATCTTATTGATGAGTATCTAAGTTTTGTTATTTAATCCTACGACAAGTATATGTTTTCCAAGTATACCATACCTGTATTAAAATCTCTCAAACACACTACAGAAGAAATAAACAAAACGAGGCCAGAAATGAATAATTCTTTTTTCAACCATCTCAATAGAAGAAACACAAAAACAAGTGATATATAAAAAACGTCTCATGTCTAAGCAAAATTAGCACTTTAACAATCTTAAAACAATAACTTAATTAAGCAAAAAAACTAGATATATGTTTCTCCAGGCTTCAAAACAGATAGATAGATAAATGATAAATCAATCTTCATCATCTATGACCTTGGTGCCCAAACCTTTTAGCTCCTCCTTAGGAATTTCAACAACTGTAACAAGGGAGTATAATTCCTCCTTTGCATCTTCATCGTCGTTCCTCTTGCGCGCAATGCGTACTCTGACTCTCCTGGGAACACTTCTAATTCCTTGGCTCCAGATAGCCTTGTTCAGCTTGACATCGACCCTAACATCGTTAGTGCCCATGGCTTTTTGAGCAAACTTCCTTATCTCCTTGATAGCTTTTGGTGCCTTCTTCTTGAATGTGCTGTTTATTATCAAACAGACAGAAACTAGTAAGAGATCCAATAATGCAATTACACGTACAACATGAACCACATTAAAAGAATTTATCTCCAAACAATACAAAAATTAAACAAGATTAAGTTGTGAATTGGAAGACCTATTTTTAATGAATATACAGATAAAAGATGAATGATAACTTCAAATAAAAAACAACAAATATATAAATCATTAGCTACTATATCATTTGTATACTTCAAAATGATAAGATTTGAGTAACAAAGTCATCAAATTGACTAACAAAAATCACATTTTAGGACCAAAATGACTAAAAACACATTCACAAAGACCAAAATGGGACTTAACAGAAAATAATATAATTGAGGATGTGTTTGCAATTTCGATACACCTCAAACATTAAAAAACCAACAGCATAGTTCAATCTAAATCAACACGAAAAAAATCAGTGATTTAACAAACACAAAAAAAAAAAACTCAGTTTTATTCTATTTCAATTCAGAACTGAAATTTGTATATCTAAATGCAGTAATAACTAATAGCAAAAGCTATCATTGATTAAGGGCCTGTTTGGATTAGCTCATTTGAGCTTATCTTATGCCATAAGTTGAGACAGCATTGTTAATAAACTTTTTTTATCTTATTTTTATAAGAATTTAAATTTATATTATCAAAGAAAGCACAAATAAAAATAATTTAAATTTATGTTACCTTTTGTTAGAAATATAGCTTATGAAAGCTTTTTCATAAGTGCTTATTTTGATAAGCACTTGTTCTATAAGAACTAAATAAGCGGCCCTAAATCAACATCATTAAATAAACAGAATACATCCATAGATACGTAAATCAAAAACCCTGATGGATCTATAAAAAATTGAGACCCTAATTAAAACAAAATCATTCAAAACTGAAAAAATGATTGTTAAGCAGTTAAATCATGCAGTAAAAACTCATCGGAAACAGAGCATACCAGCCATGAAGACGCTTGTGAAGGTTGATCGTGTACTCCCTGGTAACAACCTCCTCTTTTCTACCACCTGCACCCTTCTCCACCATTTTCAACTTCTGATAACCCTAAACCCTATACAAATACAACAAATCTAGTTCTAAAATTATGCAATTTTGAGAACAGAATGCATAAATTAAGCTTAGATGCAAATAATTTATCAATCGAGAATTAGAAAACGAGAGAGATACCTGAAGACTGTGCAAGGTTTTCGGCAGTGTTTGGCACAAAACGAAAGAGGAACCTGTAATATAATCAAACCCTAGTTTTTATGGGTTTAGATTGGGCCTTTGTCTTATAACTGGGCTTTTAATTTTATTATAAAGCCCAATCAATTTGGAATGGGTCGAACACGATCACACTGAACGTTTGAAGAAAAATATATATAATGTACATTAGGCAAAGACAAAATAATAATAATAATAAAATATTTTTTTTTTTAATATTAAAAAATTTTGTTTTGAGGCAAACATTAAAATTATTTTTAGTAACTTTTACTTTTGGTTTCTAAAATTCTATTGATGTAATAAAGTTTTGAAATTCATTAAAAAATATATATAACATTAAAGTAATATTTCTTCTTTCGTTTTAGTTTCATTAATAATTTTTTTCTTTCATTTTAGATTTTACAATATATATTTTTTAATAAATGTAAATTACTGAATAAATAGAAAAAATAAAAAGGATGAGATGTAAAACTCAACTCATTAAAGATCTAATAAATATAATAGTTGGACATGTTCAACACATTTCTCTAAAAAACTTTTAAAAACACAAATATGAAATAAATCTCATAAAATGTCACAATCAATAAAATAAAAAATTATTTTAGTTTATCTATGTGCACGTGCGTTTCTTTTTGAAAATGTGAGATATTTTAAATCTAAATGAATGTATAGTGTGTAAAGTATTTTTTCATTTAATTAAAAAATGTTACAGATATTCATATAAGAAAATGTAGGAATTGCTAGCACTTAGTGAATTTCAAGCCAAGGATTTATCAAATTCTTTCGGTTAACATATTCAATGACAAACATGATTTCATGCCATTTAGATTGAAAGGAGGTGCAAACTTCAATCTCTAGTGCACTTAATCCAAATATGACTAGGAAAATACCAATTAACTTCTATTATTCTAGGTGCAGAAGAGGATCGATATTTGATGTCAAATCATTCAATAATTGTAAATCGGTGAATTAAATAATACATATACCCCTTGAAAGAAGTAGATTTTATATAGACCAATTGTTTAACATCAGTCGTAGTCCTTTACAAGAGCGAATAACTCTGTAGCACTAAGTCTCAAATTCTATGAGGCCCATTTTTTTTAATTTTTGAACCTAAAAATTTCTATAAAAAAATCAAAAATATCAAAACAAAATTGAAACACGCTTCATGTTAAAAACAAAATTGAAAACGTGCTTCTTCGTCTTTTTATGAAAGTAAATTTGAAACAAAAACAGTGTCAAAATATCAAAAAACTTAAAACGAAACGATGTTCCCTCGTTTTTTCACTTTGCGCCAGTGAAAAATGAAACGACAGCAAAATAAAATTTGTCGCACCCCCATCCTCGGTGCCTCACAAGTTTATAGCGACATTGGCAGAGACACAATAAAACAATTGTGGGGCGACGTACAGTGTATGGGTGATAAGTAACCAGAAAATCTCTCTTATGATTCCAAGTCTCACCGACGTCGTGGTGCAATGTAGGTACATTTATAATTATGGGTTAAATATACAAATCCCCCTGTAATTTTAGTGAGTTTTAATTTTATCCCCTGTAAAAAAAAATTTAACCCCCCCCCCCCCTATGTTATGTAGATTCCCTCATAGAACCCCCAAAAACCATAAAAAAAAATATACAATGTGGCCAGTGTTTGAAATACCAAGTGAATCTTTCATGCCACCTGGCTATTTGGGGGTTCTATAAGGGAATCTACATAACATAAGTGGGGTTAAATAAAAACTTTACCAGGGGCTAAAAACAAAACTCGCTAACATTACAAGAGGTTTATGTATTTAACTCTATAATTATTCATTTCATTTTGTTTATATGTTGCATTTTGACTACCTCATCTCATTCATGAAGGTTGGTATTAATATTTAGTACTCCAACATAGATTAAGTAATGTATTGCTAAGTTTTCAAATGTTAGAAAGTTTTTAATATGAATTGGTTTCTTTATTAATGAGATTATGTCCTATTTGCATAATATAAAAACTTAGATACATTGCACTTACATACATTACATATACATATTATGATGAATGATGAAAATTTTGTCAAAAATATGTGGATTTATTGAGCTACAAAAGGTTATCATGACCTATTAAGGTTTCAACAATGTGTTTAGTATGAAGATTATTCCATGGACTTTATTATTTTGGAAAAATAAACATAATAAATAAATGTCTTTTATTATTAATAAATAATCGATACAAGTACCAAAACTATTGGCATCTAGGACATACACCAACAATCTTCCACTAACACTAGAGTCAATCAGACACACCCCTAATACCCATAGATCTAGTATGCTCATCATGCTTCTACTGTGCAAAAGTCTTTGTTATTGGATCATTAACATGGTCAAGTGTAGGTACTATGCATATCTTTACATCTCCCAAGTCTATTATCTCTCGAATGAGGTGATATCTCCTAAGTATGTGTTTGGATCGTTGGTGAGATTTAGGCTCCTTAGCTTATGCGATAACACTATTTTTATCACAATAGAGATCATTGGGATTTATAATGCTAGGGATTATGCCAAGTTCACTAATGAACTTCTTGATCTAAACAACTTCTTTTGTTGCATTTGAGGCAACAATATACTCGGCCTCGATTGTAGAATCAACAATTGTATCTTGCTTTGAACTTTTCTAACTCACAACACCACCATTTAAACAGAACACATAACCATATTGCAATCTAAAGTCATCATTATCTGTCTGGAAGCTAGCATTGGTGTATCCAATTACAACGAGATCTTCTTGGCCTTCATATACCAATAATGAGTCCTTAGTCCTTCTAAAGTACTTAAGGATATTATTGACAACTACCTAATGAACATCACCGAGATCAGATTGGTACCTACTTGTTGCACTTAAAGCATACAAGACATCTGATCGAGTATATAACATGGCATACATGATAGATCCTATTGCAGATACATATGGAATCTTATTCATGCGATCCTTTTCTTCCTTAGTTGGAGGGAATTGTGTTTTTAATAAACATGTTCCATGTTGCACATGTATGAATCCTTTCTTGGAATCATGCATATTAAAGTGCCTTAACATTTGTTTATGTATGTACTTTGACTTAGGCTAAGCAGTCTTTTTGATCTATCTCTATAGATCATGACTCTTAATATATAGGTTGTTTCACCTAGGCCCTTCATAGAAAAGCATTTCCCTAGCCACGTTTTCACTTGCTGCAAGGTAGGGACATTGTTTCCAATGAGTAATATGACATTCACATATAATATCAGGAAGATTACCATACTCCCACTAACCTTCTTCTAGACACAAGAATCATTTTCAATTTTGTTGAATCAATATTGTTTTATCGTTTCATCAAAACAAAATTTTCAGCTTTTGGAAGCTTGCTTCAATTCATTGATTGATCGGTGTAACTTGCATATCTTTTGGGCTTCTTCTAGTATGTCAAATCCTCCAGGTTGTGTCATGTAAATGTTATCAAAAAGATTTCTATTAAGGAAAGCAGTCTTGATATCTATCTTCCATATTTTGTAATCATGATATACATCGATAGCAAGTAAAATCCTAACAGATTTAAGCATTATAACTGGTGAAAAAGCTTCATCATAGTCTACATCATGAATCTGCTTATAGCCCTTAGTAACCAGTCTTTCCTTATGGTTATGTATGTTGACGCAGTAAAGTGACAAGCAAAAGATTGGAAGTATTCTGGGTTTTATGGTATCCACAGGGAACAATGCAACGGAAAGAATGTCATTCAATAGTTTATGTGTTTCTAATCTTGGGTTATAATGGATTTTAAAGGTATGAGGTACGGAAATTAAAGTTATTAACATAAAATAAATACACTTTTTGGAGAGGAGATAACTCTAGGAATTGAATTTCATATACCTGTCAAATACTTAAATGTACTACTCAATTGCACTCAACCAAAAATAACCGTCAATATCATCATGTATCACTCATACAAAGGTTATCTTTAATGCAAAGTGAGATATCAAATGTTTCGCTCTCGCCAGCGATGTCTCGCACAACTTAAACTACATGGAGGCATTAAGAGATGATACTATAAGTGATCATTAAGTCTAAATTTGTCTCTAGAGTTTAGAAACTAACATATATTCATCCTAAGTTCGGATCTAAATCGTATATGTCTATAGCAACTCAAACCCAAACATTAAGCAAGCTCACGAGGATAAGCATCAATATTGATTTGTAAAAACAATTTTATACAATACCATGAGCAATAAATATACATACAAGACAAAGTATATTTACATACAAAACACCAACAAATGAAGGTACAAAGAGGAGAAAGAAGAAAATGAACAAGAATTGCTCGATTTGTCAACTCCGATTGAAGCAAACCCACCTTCGATCATCAAGATACAACCCCAATTGGTGTTTTCTAAGCTCAATCATCAAAGAATGGAAGGGGTGGAGTTGGGACTCAAAATACCCAAAACCATAACCTAAAAATTTGTCTAAAACTATTTATATAAAAGCAAAAATCATAGACCGCGCTTAGCCTGCTCAACCGCGCTAAGAACACTCCCCTTTATTTCACTAAACTGCCTTAGAGCTTGCTAAGCGCCCTCAGACCATGCTTAGCATGCTCACCTCTGCCTAGCCAATCAACATAAACGCTATGATTGCGCTTAGCCTGACCTAAGAATGTTTATTTTCTTCCAAAACTTGCATCTTGAAGCTTTATTCAATCTTGAATGTTCCATGCTTCAACGATGGGATAAATCTTACAAAAATGGGATAAAATCTGTTAATCGATACAATATTTACACGAATAAACTATTAAACGGTTATGTACATA